TTGAGTAAAGACCCCGAGTGTTGACATATTATCGGGTTCTCGGGAGGGAACAGATCGTTCTTGTGGACACACCTAACGGCGAGGACATCCAATCAACCAATCGATCAATTGGTCATTTCATTAGCACAAATCACTCATATATTTCTCTAAATTACACTATTTCTTAATTATCTCAATATCTCATTAAATGCTATAATAATTAGAAAATTCCCTAAACTTTTAGTCTCAATATGTTTGGTATTAAAGTCGAAAAATATATAATTATGGCATAAATCTACAGAGTGTTTGACTTTAGGGAAAATATTCATTTGAATGTATTTTGCAGTTGAATGAAAGTAGGCTTAGTTTCTCAATCAATCAATAATAATAATTATTGAATCCAATTATGAAATTGTGCTGAAAGTGAGAAAACAGTAAACAAATAAAAGCAATACCTATACGAATGAACGATCCGTTTGTCCTCATCGACGGACGTCGAGGCAAAGCACAGGCCATCCGTTTCGCACGTGTGGTTCGACTCCGGAGGACAGATATCGCAGTGACATTTCAGACCTATAGTAACCATACAATTGGTTAATCATTATTTTACATGTCATATGTCATACAAATCTACACAAATATTTCAAGTAAATTAAACCCATTTTTTTAATTTCTCACAATTTTTGTGTTGAATTTTAATGACAAGTTTGAAGCGAAAAGAAAAACAAATTTAAATTATAGCTTATCGTCAAAAACATGTTATTTTTGATCAATCTTTGGGTCAGAGTTTCCATAGAGATTGAGACTAACGTAACGTTTTAAGTCTCATTACTTGACACTATTTTTAGACATTTAAGCCCTTTTCTAACTCAGCAATCATTTCATCATAAAATATAATAAAGACAATCAAAGCATACTATTTGGTCTACACTATAACCAGTGTGAATACAACCAATATCACCATCATCATGATAAAGCAATTATTTTAAATTCATATACAATATGGTTAAATACGAAATATATTTGTGTAGTTAATACTGCATATCTCGAATCCTGTGAAACCCTAATTCTCTATAACCATTCATTTAAAAAACTCGAACCTCTGTTTCCGAAACGCAAATATTTTTCTCACCTTTCATTGCACTTCACTGTACTTTTACCATAATCTAAAATACCAACATTTTATTTTAGAAAAATATCATCTAAACGTTATCATAAAAATGAACCCAAAAAGTGAATCAATTAACATTACCATCTCTTAATTAAAATGGCATATTTCAGCATAAATGTATCAATTAAATCCTCTATAACTCATTAATCATCTATTATTTGTCTATAACTCGAAAACCTGTATAAGTTATACGGTATAACTCAAACAAACATTTGTGTTCCGAAGATATCGAGATCGGGAGGTTTAAGTGTATTTATATTTTCTATCATTTGCTTTATTCAGACATTACATACAGTAATACTTGCATTCAATATAACCACTCAAATCATTTAGACTTCAATTCAAAAATTGTATAAATAATCATTAAAATGGTTTATGTTTTGAAAATGAGAGACAGAGACAGAGAGAGAGAGAGAGAGAGAGAGAGAGAGAGAGACGAGTAAACGTGAGCTGAGAGTTGAGTTGATTGAGGAAAATAGTTTGAAAGCCTTTGTATAAAAATATAACACATAATACATCCCATGGAATGATAGGTTTGTTTCATAGAGAATGAGAGACAGTATGTGTCGGTTTGGGTAAATGAGATGACAATATCACACCAACTGAGACCTGAAAGTGATTGTCTGAAAGACTTGTATTCACTTTTTGAAAGCGTTGACTCAATTGTCTTCGCATTTCATTTATCAAAATTAACACTTTTTAGGGCACAAGAGATGACACTTTTGCGCTAAACAATGGACTTTAAAGATCAGGACTTATTGTTTAATTTTGTATTACAGGTCTATTGGTTGGGTCCAGTGTTGGGCGGAGTGTTGGCCGGATTGATATATGAGTACATATTTGACACTAAAAAGTCTGGCAAAACAATACGCGATGCCTTCGATGAACTGGAAAGAGGTAAGCGATCGACACAACCAGCGGTTGTATTGGTATTGAAGACATGTGTCGACAATAATATAATAATATTAAATAACAAATAAATAGACAAAATAAGTAGTGAGAGAATAGACAACAAATCAAGTAAAGCGAAGTCTTATTCGGAGCCGATATTACAATATTAGTGCCATTGAATGGTTATAACATATAATAAGATTTGTTCACATCCTCTGCCACTCGCTTCCAGTGATATCCAAAGACTTTGACGGAGAGAATAGACGAGGAAATAGCGCTACCGCTAACACCATTCGTATACAAGGGATATAAAGTGCAATGCCTTTTGGGTTAAAGAGATATTTGGCACAAAATGCCACCAAAAATCAGACAAACAGCAAAAATTCATTCAATTTATTGAATTGTTGTCTAGTTTTGCCTCAAAAACTGATTATGTATTCCTATCTCAGCCTCAAATCAGAGTGACTTTTATCACAATTGAGACGAGAATTCGCTACAATTCATGCACTCTTTTCATGCCTTTAATATCGCACTAAATATACTGATTCTCATTCAGATTCTGTTTCATTTCTTTTTCAACTTGTTTTCAAATATAATATACAAAACATACGGAATATTCTTCATATATTCCTCCCATATTTGGTCGCATTTGCCATCCCTTCTCTCTCCCAAACGGTTATTCAATACATTTGCTTTTGTGTCTTCCGCTTATAACATACATAAACTATTTTCGAGCCATAGATTGCAAACCTTATCGCAAATATATTATGTATTTCTTGTGCGGATTCCGTATCGCATATATCGTGAGTAAAAAATAGTCAATTGACTCACAATTTCATGTGTTATTTGATTTTTTCCTGAATGTGCGGCCAAACACAAAGTGGAGACCAATTCTTTGATTTGTTCCCTTCACTCACCATATGTTGCACAACAGTAGTGCCAGAAGGGAGAGGGGGGAGAGAGAGAGAGAGAGAGAGAGAGAGAGCTTTTATAAGAACTTTTTCTCCGTTAAATTATTGCCTTAAATGTATAGCACAAGTGGTATATAACTATTCAGTGGTCTTTTCAGTGTTCCGTTATTTCTCAGTCAATATTATTCTCGAGGAATAACTTTATGCCAAACACTTTCGGCTCTCAATCTCGAGTCAAAACTTCAACATTTTTTTCTCTCTTTGCGCTAACCCTTAAAGAGATGGTGTTTTCCCCCGAGCCTTCTCTAACAGTACTACTGATGGCATGTGTGGCACAGTATTAGCAATGAAGCCAACGGTTCCCTTCAAACCGATTGATTTATGTCTTTCCACTATTTTCTTCTTTTTTGATTTTTATGTATTTCTTTTTTATATATAAATTTTTTGCTATATTTTATACATAGAATCAAATCTGGACGACGATTACGAGGACCCGGATATTAAGATCAATAACAAGCCTCCGGTCGTGGCCTACAGTACCACTTCTGGCACGTCGTCGGGCAGTAGTAGCGGTCATCGGTCTAATCACACCCAACAGAGCGCTGTCAGCGTTCACGCGCCCAACGGAGGGCCCGGCGCTCATTACGACACCTTCCGAACGATGGCCACAATCAACGCCTACACTCCCACACCGGCGGCGCTCGACGGGGTCGGGGTTTACGGCACTGGCGGTACCGGCGGTACTCCACATCACGTCAAACTCCCGTCCAATAACTATCATCCAAACAATTCAAACTATTCCGGCGTTTACGGCACTCAACGCTACGGACACAACACACTCAGACAATTGCCCTCACGTATGGACTACGGGGCGTCGGTCGCCGTGTCCACCGGTCCCGGCAATACCAAGTTCTAACTTCACGACTGCCCCCACACAACAAAAAGCATTAACACCCTAACGAATTTGATATTAATTTTTTTGTGCTGTTTAATTATTTGACAAATTGTATTTCATGTGTAAATAACCATTTTTGCAAATGTTATGGATTTTTTTGTAGTGTTTTCTCCTTTTTCTTTCTTATACAGTATGTATGATATCTGGAGGAATGGAAGCATAAAATAAATGATAATTCGCTTATGTTTTTTCGGTGGAAATCTTGTCAAAAGAGAGGCATTACATTACAAAACACACAACAATTATATGTACTCTTTTGTACTTAATATAAATGAGAACTAAAAACCCTAACATTTAAAACACAGCCAACAAACAAATTACAAACATTTGTTAGTTTATAAAATTATATATAAAAAAAACTTTAAAACATTTCATTGTGTTTGTAATATTGAAATAAAATGGGAGCCCAACTGTGTATTCGCTTTCGGCAATACTGATTAGCCGTATATTATAGTTATTTTATATCATTATTATTGCGTTATATGTATTGTAAATAATTAATTAAAATACCGAAAAATATACATAAAATTTGATGAAAAGAAGTAAAATTTCTCAACTCATTAAAATTAATGAATTTCTTTTGGGTATAAGTTTTGGTTCGCTATTCGAGCGAAGAATGGCTTTTAAAATAAGAGTAAAAGTAAGTATAAAATCGATTCGCAAAAAATCCCATTTATGGCCATAAGAATATTCTGTTGGCTCTCCTCTCCAGCCTTTCATAGAGTATTATAACATATATTTGTCTGAATTTCAATCGACTCGTTCATTGAGTGGAGAGAGAGAGAGAGAGAGAGAGAGAGAGAGAGAGAGCTATTGTAAGGGCTATAATATATGTCTCGTTTTTCTCATTTGAGTTACTGATAGTTTAGGATTGAGTTTGAGTTTTCGAGTCGTGTACTTGTTTTATGAAGTGAACACAATTCGTGTCCAATAATAAACACAACACAACACTTGCTTTAGTCGACAATTTTCTTTATGAACTCTTATTTCACAACAAAACAAATCTTATATAATATTAGAGCACACGGGAGACAGTAATTGACGGGTAGGGCCCACACATACACACATATACAACAACCAATACATATACGGCTTTTCCATTATTTCATTGGACCTCTTAAATCAGCTCTTGTTGTAAAAAACATAATATATTTTGTTTTCTCAATCGAAAACACGAGCAAAAAGTTAAAGAAATATCTTTGCGGAGATTTTTATTAGTATATTCTGTTCGCAAAAATACTCTTAAACCTGATATACCGTACACTCAGAACAATAGGGAACAGAATATTCACAAGAATTGCAAAAATAAGATAAGAATTTTGAGAGAGAAAAGAGCAAAACGTAATGCAAAGCTTGAATACAAAGAGTAGAG